GAAGATCTACATGGCAATAAAATTGACTTTCTATTCTACCAATTAAATCTATCTAAAATTTTACCCGTCACAACGTTTAGTATTACCTTCAATTCTAATGTAAAATTTATTTTATTTTATAATAAAAATTTAGGTAAATCAAAATTCTTATTAATTTACTATATAAATGATAATTTTTATATTAATTTTATATTAATAAATATTAAAGAAAAAGAAAAAGAATTGAGTTTTAAATATGTTAGTATTAAGTATTTGAGACTTTATTATTCTAGTAATCATATGATAACTAGAAATTTTGAATATTTAAACTTAAAAAATTAATTAAAAATTATATAAAAATAAGTTTATATTAAGAAAAACTTATTTATTTAGCAAAAATTACCATAAATCTCTTGATATCTACATTTTATATAAATAGTTTTCTAATTAATCCTAACTATAAAAATTGTTAAATAGATTTTAAATAGATTTTATTTATTTATTTCAAGCTTCTTTTAACTTTTTTTTTTTACAGTAGTAATTAATTTACTATCATTAAATCAGAGTTTAACTTATTACTTTATTTTTATTTGATTTCTAAATCCTTTATTAATAATTTTTTAGATAGTTAAATCATTATTAATAGTTTTAATAATTCACTTTAAAAGAAAAGTTATCAATTTATCAATATTTATTTGCTTATTTTCTTTATGTTTAATTTTGTAAGAATTGAATTTAATTATTACTTACTTTGGTTTATATATAATAATTTTAATAATCATAAATATACTAAATTTATATTCTTAATTAGATAATATATTTACTAATATAAATGTTTATATAATCTTCAGGTATATCAGAAACAATCTTTTCTCATGTCCTTGTAAAATTTCTATAGCAAAACCTATATCATATTTTCACCTTTAATATGAAAAGGTAAATAATTACTTAATAGATTTCATAAGAATACACCAAACACTTAAATGTCACTTTTTCGTTTAGTGTATATTATATTAATGTATTATCATTTATTTAAAAAAACTTTTGAATCATTATAAGGAATTATATAAAATAAATAATGCCTTGATGGATTAATATATTGCCTGAATGTTATTTATATAAAAGAAAAAGTTATTATTAATTACTAAAAATATTAATAATAAGCAAATTTAGATATAAGGTTACCAAATCACAATGCATAATTTCTTCTTTATGTAAACATAATACAAAAGTTGTATTTCTCTATCAAATTTATCCTTCAAATAAATTTAATCGTATTGCACATTAGCATATTCCATTTCTAACAAATAATTTTTCAATTCAGATTTTAATAAATTTTTTTTTTACAAAAAAAAAAAATACATACAGTGACTTCTATAATTATTGTATCACTTCATTTTTAATTTTTAGATCGTGATACCTGAATAATTAAAGTGACTATAAAACTAAAATTTTAAACCAATTTAAAGCCTGTAATCGAATTTTTAATATAATCTATTTTCATACCTTGTTTATACGAATATACAGCGGCAGCATGAAAATAGTAAATAAATTTGGGCATTTTTTATTAGATTTTTGCGTATAATTCTTTCAATTATTTGATTAAATTTATCCACAAAAAAAAAAGGTAATATAAATCAATTTTCACGTCGAACTAAAGATAAAAAGTAAACCGATAAATGTTTTTTTTATTTATTTTTTATTTAAATTAAAGTAACGTGGTTATTAATCTGTCCGGCTTTTTTAAATTTTTATTATAATTATCTCACTTTCAGAACGAAAAGAATCAACGAATTAAAGAATAGCTTAATGAATTGAAGTGTCATATTATATGAAAATGTTGCAAATAAATGGACTACAGGAAACAAGAGGTTACTGAGAAATGGTGAAAATCATAATAATTTTTTTTTTAAATGACATATTATACAAAAGCCAATACACGAAAAGTTTACTAATATAGCAACTATTGATTTTTTTTTTTAAAATATCTTAGCGAAAAACAATAATTTTAATACAAATAAAAGCATACTAATAAATCTTGTTGATAAAGTTCTCTATAGTATGAATATTCCAAACCGGTTGCATTTCTTCGAATTCTTTGGTTAAGAGCTGTGAATCTTCACTTGCTCCATCCCTGGCAACAATATGGTGTCCTGCGTCTAAACAAGACTTAATGGCCATAGGAAGCGGAGGATGCGGCTGACCTGATTTATTACCGATATAAAATCTTTGTGATTGTGGCGAAGGAACATATGGATTATACGGTTCTAAGGTAAGTTCAGAATTTTGGTTGTAGGTGACGGCAAAAAGTTCATGTCCTTCTTTGTTTATGTTAACAATGCTGAAATGATTGCCAATCTTCTTTAATATCCAGGATTGATTTTCTTCACCTCGCAGGCGTAGCGTAATTTTGTTAGTTGCGTTGCTTGCTGTCCAAAAAAGTTTTGCATTTCCGATAGCTTGAATGAGAACTGCTCTAGACATTTTTCTAAAAAAAATCATAATTAAAAAAGAAGTTTATTTAATGCATTAAAAAATAATTACAAGTATTTTAACTAAAAATATTTACATACTTTTCTTATGAGCAATATTGAGATTTTTTTTCAATGTGGCATGCCTTTAAATATTATCTCAGAGGAAGTTGGTCGATACCTGAATTTTTAAACCCCTAGATCAATTCGATTGGCGTGTGAGTAACAAAATTCATCTCCGAATTTTTTATCTGCATATCAGCAAGGCTTCAATAGACTTCAATAAGACAAAGAGTAATTTGCGCATGAGAAAACAAAACAGATCGTACCGCTATTATTTCAGAACTTGGGATCTCTCAAAATTGGTCATTTTAATGAAAAGTACGGATTAATCAAATCTATTGTTACACATCATTATAAGGTGCATGTTTGTTTTTGAAAATACGAGTCACAAATTACAATTAAAAATCCTTGTTGAATTAGGCAATATTGAGCAGGGTTGGTTTGTATTGGGCATCGAATAAGGCAGTGGTCCAAAGCCTTTTTTACTTATCCAAGTCCAAGTGTTACTGTCATTTTTCTTGTACTACCGTTACCTGTACAATTCAATTCATAACAATACTTATGTAGCAGGGTATGGAATCGGATTCATGAATAACAAAATTTCAGAACCTGGATTGATTTTAAAATCTAACTGATGAGTTTATCCGCACCAATCAAAATCAAATTTATTAATATCACGAAAGATAATCGAAACTCATCACTCCACTTCCTCCCTTAGTAATTTTGAATAAATTCAGTTTCATTTGTTACAAAGGAATAACATGACGTTTATTTAATCCTAAAAATAGGCTCTGTGCATATTTACCGTATAACCTTATTACAATTTATCAAAATCAAATTATCGTTAATATTTACTAGAAGCAACGTTTTGTAAATTAGAGGTTGGAACCGGCCGAAAATTCTTTAACCGGTTAATAACCGGTTAAAATTAACTTTGGCCAGTATTATAAATT